ATCTATCTATCTATCTATCTATCTATCTATCTATCTATCTATCTATCTACAGTATCTAGCTGGCTTCCCTTCAGCCTCCTGGGACCAAAAACATGCTGGGGTAGGGGATGCACCCCCCCACACCCAGTTTTGGGCCTAGCAGGCCTTTCTGAAGCCTCCTGGGACCAAAAACAGGCTGGGGGGGGAATGCATCCCCCCCACGATCCATTTTTGGCCCAGCAGGCCTCCCTGCAGTCTCCTGGGACCAAAAACGGGTCAGGGGGGGTAGGCCTTATACCCCTACATCCTGTTTTTGGCCTAGCAGGCTCCCTACTGCCTCCTGAAACCAAAAAGAGGCCGGGGGGATGCACACACGCCCATGCCCACTTTTGGGCCTAGCAGGCCTCCCTGCAGCCTCCCTGGACCAAAAAAACAGGCCGGGGGGAATGGACTTCCCCACGACCCGTTTTTGGCCCAGCAGGCCTCCCTGCAGCCTCCTGGGACCAAAAACAGGCCGGGGGGGGGAGGCCACATACCCCTACGTCCCGTTTTTGGCCCAGCAGGCCTCCCTGCAGCCTCCTGGGACCAAAAACAGGTCAGGGGGGAGGCCACACACCCCTACATCCCGTTTTTGGCCCAGCAGGCCTCCCTGCAGCCTCCTTGGACCAAAAACAGGCCGGGGGAATGGAGCCCCCCCCCCATATCCCGTTTTTGGCCCAGCAGGCCTCCCTGCAGTCTTCTGGGACCAAAAACGGGCCGTGGGGGGGGAGTGCAGTCCCCTCTGTGCTTCCCCTGCCTCCCCCGCACATGTTTGTGTGTGTCTCCCACATGCACCCTGCCCCTTGCGCATGCATGGCAGAGATCCGAAAATCAGCTGGCTGGCGGGAGGTGCGCCCGGATGCATGGTGCAGTTAAGCTGGGGCAACGGCATGCCGTAGATTCAGCATCACGGACCTAGAAAGATCAATCCGATTTGAGTCTGGGGTCTTTTTTTGATTCTCCTCCCTGCCCCTCTACAGGTTCCAGCACTTCTTCCTTTCCTGCGGGTCGGAAATGCTGATCATCCGTGCGCCCAATCAGCCGTCCAGGAAATTGTGCGGGTACACAACGCCGGAACCGATTCGCGTAAAGGGCGGCAACGTGACTCTGACGTACAGTTGGAAATTCTGGGCGAGGAACCGATTTCAGCTGAAATACGAGCGAGGTAAGGACAGCGCTATGGCGTCCCCGACTCTAAAACCCCGAGACGAGATTCTGCAGATATAATCCTCGATTTATGACCGTTTGTTTCGAGAATGTCCCAAGTCACAACGGCCACGGAAGAATGTGACTTATGACCTTTGCAGCGCTTCCCCCCCCCCCATGATTATCTGATCAAAATTCAGATAGTTGGCGACTGGTTCGTACTTATGACGGCCGCAGTGCCCACGGGGTCATGAGTGATCCCCTTTTGCAACCTTTCGACCAGCAGAGTCCGTGGGGAAGCCAGATTCACTTAACAACCCGGACTGAAGCGATGCACTTCCCTGCTGTGGCAAGGAAGGTCGTAAAATGGGGCAGAACTGGCTTTAACAAACGTCTCACTTAACAACAGAAATTTTGGGCTCTATTGTGGTCCTACGTTGAGGATTAGCTGTAGTACGGGAGGTTTTTAACATACGACCACAATGGGAAGCAGAATTGTAGCTGCTAAGAAAGGCAGCCCTGCCTGATTTGACGATTTTTTGTTTGCTGGTTACGGTTGCTGAGTGAATCAGTGCCGACGTTAAGTTAATCTCTTGGTCGTTAAGCAAATCCGGCTTTCGCCATTGGCCTTGCTAGGTTGCACATGGCGATCACGTAACTCGGCGAGGCTGAAACCGTCGTACAATCATGCCCGTCGCCAGGCATCCTCATTGAGCGGCTGACTCATTGAGCGACCATTCACAATTACAACAGGGATGAAAACCTTTGCAATGGCCCCTTCCATTGATCATCTTCGCAGGTCTCAAAAGCAGAGGAGAGCTGAAGGTAGAGGGTAAGCCCCATCACAGTTTCACTTAGCGACCGCTTTGCTTAACAACCATATCGCCGGTCCTAATTGCGGTTACTAAAGGAGGAGGGGTTCCACAAATCTACAGTGCCGTTTGGAACCGGTTCCAGCGCCCTCCCCCCACCCGTCCGCACATCATCAAGATGAAGAGCGAGAGGAGGAATTCTGGGAGTTGAAGTCCACAAGTCTTAAAGCTGTCAAGTTTNTTTCTCTGGTAATACGCCTAACAAAATTGAAGTCCTAAAATCTTAAAAGAAGATTAAGATTAGAAGGGATGTGGTGGCTCAGGGGCTAAAACGCTGAGCTTGTCGATCGGAAAGGTCGGCGGTTCGAATCCCTAGCGTCGCGTAACGGAGCGAGCTCCCGTTACTTGTCCCAACTTCTGCCAACCTAGCGGTTCGAAAGCACGTAAAAATGCAAGTAGGAAAATAGGGACCACTTTTGGTAGGAAGGTCACAGCGCTCCGTGCACCTTCGGCGTTTAGCCATGACCACGGAGAATGTCTTCAGACAGAGCTGGCTCTTTGGCTTTTGAAACGGATAGGAGCACCGCCCCCTAGAGTTGGGAACATCTAGCGCAGATGTGCGAGGGGAACCTTTGTTTTTTTAAGATCTTAAAAAGTTTTTTGTTTTATGGGGGGGGGGGGAAATTCTGACCTAAAACCTTTTCAGATTTTGATTTATAGATCTTTAGGGGAAGGATCCTATCAGTAATGACAGTGCAGAAGGAAAGGAGAGAACCACAAAGGTCATCTAGTCCAACCTGCTGTCCAAAACCTTATAGGGTCTCCTGCTTGGGCGGGGAGTTGGACTAGATGACCTCCAAGGTCCCTTCCAACTCTGTTAATCTGTTAAACCATCTAGGAGAGGAAGCTCTCCAGCCTTTTCGTAATAGGACTCCAGAGATGGGGAGGGAAACCCCCCAAATTCCATAGGAAGACTGTTTCTTCTTTATGCAGGCAATCCTCGACTTATTACCGAAACTCAGCCCAAAATTTCCGTGGCTGAGGGAGATGTTCGCTAAGCGAGTTGTGTGCCTTATTCTGCAACCTTTCTGGCCACAGTGGTTCAGTGACTCACTGCCCTGGTTAAATGAGTAGCCCCGTTGTTAAGTGAATCAGGCTTTTGCCATGGACTGTCACAAAAGGGGATATATATATATACATACATTTAATTGCTTTTAAAATAATAACAGAAAAAGAAGAGGGGGGAAAAACCAGAAGGTACCCAGCGCAAAAATATATACATAAATTAAAAATAAATAGCAAGTGTTTTAAAAACCGTGATGGTTATATAAGTGTACTAGCAACTAATACAAACACACACCCAAGCACGCTTGAGAAATGCTTGCGTTCTTTTATTATGTCTGGCTGTCTATCTATCTCTATATCTATCTATCTATCTATCTATCTATCTATCTATCTATCTATCTATCTATCTATCTATCTATCTATCTATCTATATCTATAAATTCCCCCATCTCTCTCTCTCTTTTCTGACTTTGTCTGTCTGTCTCTGTCTATCTGTCTGTCTATATCTATCTATCTGTCTGTCTGTCTGTCTGTCTGTATATATCCATTCCCCCATCTCTCTGTCTCTCTTTTCTGTGTCTGTCTGTCTGTCTCTGTCTGTCTGTCTGTCTGTCTGTCTGTCTGTATCTATCTATCTATCTCTATCTATCTATCTATCTATCTATCTATCTATCTATCTATATCTATATATCTATCTATCTACGGTATCATCTATTATCTATCTATCTATCTATCCATCCATCTCTGTATCTATCTATCTATCTATCTATATTTATCTATCTATCTATCTATCTATATATCATCTCTCTCTCTCTCTCTCTCTCTCTCTCTCTCTC